CCACGCAGGTAGCGATGGCGGAGGGATGATCACAGAGCTTGTGTGGGTAGATTGACATAAATAAAGAGAGTCGTGCCTTTGTAGTGAGCTTTGTGTGTGTGTGTTGTGCTGTCTACGTCTAGGTTTTGTGTGTTTTTCCAATCACACTCAGTGCTCATCTCTCAGAAGAGCTGGTATTTTTAACTTGTCCTGTTTATGCATCGACACCTGAATGCATCGCGCCTGAAGTTTTAAGCTAATAGTGGTATTGCAGTATAGACTGAATGTAATGAGGCAGATATAGCTGGAAAGATTCAGTGTGGAATACTGACGTGCAATTACTGCAGTGCCGTGAGACTTAATCACTGTGCTTGTGGCTCACTGGTTGCTCGCTGACTTGTTTTTCATTGCCATCCTTCTTCAGTATCTCATCTGATTAAATTACAGCTGTGTGGTGTTCAGTGGAGGAAATGAAGCTGTGTGTTTTGTGAGATTGTGCATGTATGTGAGCATGTATGAGTGAGCATCAATGTGTCTACTTGCATTTGTATTTTTGAAGAAAACCTACAGTGTAAACCCCAAAGGGAGCAAGAGGAGAGAAGATATTGTGTCTGTATGACTGATTGTATCTGAATGTGTTTATGTGTTTGGCCGAGTGAATTCAGCTCTTCTTCAGGCGCCCACCAGCTCTCCACTCTCTTGATAGTTGACTTCAGACCATGAATCCTGATTTCCCTGTCGGCTAATCAGATAACAGTCCTCTGCTCTGGTCTCGAGGGATCTACCAATCACGCTCCACCATGTTAGCGCCATGGAAATGGCTCAGCCCATAAACGCATCACTTCCTCTTCACCGTCTGCGGTTACAGCTCAGCTTCACATTTAACCTTGACTTTGAAAGCTGAAACTGAAACGAACAGTAGCTTATTGACAAAAACCCAAAGTACATATAATTTAATTAATTAATAAAAACAAACTCCAAGCTCGACTCCTCTCCTCACCATGGATGCACACAAGAGAAGTCTGTAGCTGCTGCTGTTTCGTGTGTGACAAAGAATGGATGACGAGAGACTTGTTGTTGAGGTTGAGAAATACTATATTACTTAGCGCATTCACTCAGCCCTCCTTGCCCCGCTCTCTCTCTGTTTATCAGACTACAAATTAGGTGTCTACCCCATGGCCTTTTCACCTCACTCCCCACCACTGTGGATTTCTTTGCTGGGACAAGAGCTGACAGCAGTTCTTGAAATGGACCATCGGTCAGCGGCTGTAGCAGCTAGAATTCAGGAAGCACAAACCCCCCCCTTAGTGCCGGGTGTCACAGTGGGCTGATGGCCAACGGTAGCGCTGGGTCTAACCCGTGTAACAGCAGCAACAGAAAGTTTGCTGACTTGGGGTCTGTCTCCAGAGCTGCTGCCCATTCTCATATGGAAGAGATTGTCTGTAGCTGTGGGAAGTGAGGCAGGACACACTGTGATTTGAGGCTCTAGCTAATGTTAGCTACATAAATGTGAACTTGAAGCCACACCTGTGAGCCTTTGGTTCTGGTTGGCAGAAGGCTAAATGATCAGCAACATTTTCTCTCCATCTCTCTACGTTTTTTTTTTGATCAGTCTATCTTCATTTTTTGTTTTTTGCAGTGTAGGCAGTCGTTGCCAATGCTGAAATAGCAATTTTCTCTGCAAGGACTCTGCGCCATTTAAGGCCAAGTCAGGCTTTCACTGGCCAATAGGAAAGCCCTGGCTCTGCTTGGCCAAAGTCACAACTTGAATTGCAATATATTCAAAGTTTATTATGGAATTTTGGCCCATTAGCACCAAAATAAAACAGTATCAATAGAAAGATCCTACATTCCCCATAATGCACTTGGAAAGTATCTTATATCAGACAGCCCCTACCTGAGAAGATCCCATATCTTTGAAACTCATCCCAAATTGTTACACGGAATTTTTCTAAACAATTTCAAGCCTCAATCCCAGTCCAAGAGAACCCTAATGACATCACTATGACATCATCAGGGTTATATTTTCTGACTATAGCGCTTCCTTTAGAGCTACAGATGACCTGTTTTTACTAACTTCGTTATCCACCTATAAGGGATAAAGCCAAAAAATATTAACTTCTGAGGAAGGGTCACAATAGTAAATCTTATATTTACAGTATCTTTTTAGTCTTATGTTGTTTATCTTTAACTTTAGCACACTCAAACTGGAGTGTGGATTTTTTCACTACTGTACAAACATGTGGAGTGGGTGGGTTGTAACATACGGTATATGGTGGCTGTTAATGATGTTATTATCATATACGCTTTAACAGCGTCTGGGCTGCTGTGAATTTATTTTAATCACTCTCTGATGCAGCACTAATTACATTATAGGTGCAGAAAATAAGCACATCCCTGGATGCAAGTGCTGCATAATTTAACTTAAAGCTGTGATGTGATTCAGATACTTGGTCAGAAGTTTTCCGTCACAGAGACTCAGTCAAGGAATAGCTTCTTATTTATTTCCTATAGTGACACTGGATTATATAATAAGCCTACATTCCTTCAAAGGCATTTCATTGTCTAGTGGGAATTTCTCCCTGTTCTTGAATCCATGCTAATTTTGAGCTACTTTTCTGTGTGGTATCAGAGAAATAAACTTTCTTGGAACAGATAATATAATTGAATAAAGTGTGTTAAATCATGTAGCTGTTAGTAAAGTCAGAGTTGTTGTCAGTGTAAGAGGCTCAGTTTGAAGTCATTGTAGGTGGTGTTGTTGTCGGTAATAAAGATTCAGTTGTGTATGACTGAGTAAATAGAGATGAAGCTGAGTTCATGTAAAGCTCTGTGACACAAAACCTGATGGCCCTAGATATGACTGACGTATTTCCATTTAGAGATTTCTAGCTGAATAACATAAACCTTAATAAAATATACAGAGCCTGTTTATGTGGGACTCAGGAGAAGGTGTTAAATTGAGACTTAACTTATGTATTTGTCTGCTTCAGAGCGTGTTGTGAAAATTTTTTAAAAAGACTGAGCGGCAGCTTCTGCAGCGAAAATGCATACAAATCGGTGAAAGTTAAAAAGCCTCTTTCAGCACTTCAGAATTGAAAGGAATCAAAGACGATAATGTCCCCCTGAGAAGTCGGCCACAGAAAAGGAAGGCTAGAGTGTGTTTTTGTGTCAGCGGGAGCCTCCTTTACAGAGTCTGGTCGGCTTGTCAAACTGCTAAAGGAGATGTTCACTGGTCCAGAGTCCTCCCACACACAGCTGCTCCCAAATAATCAGCCTGTGCGTGTCATTTCATATGTGCAGGCTCATGCATCCTTGTTTATGATATGTTTATATGTGCTTGTGTTTGCACAGTCACTTGTGTATCCTGGCACACGGCCGTACCTGTGTGTGTTCCTTTCCTTTGTGTGTTCAGGCTTGTTTGTCTGATCTCTTGGCACCATGTGCATCTCCCTCTTCATCCGACAGCTCCATGCCTGTCCAGCCGCACTCTCATCCTATTAAGACTTCTCCTCCCAAAGGAGCCGCTTGCATGTGTGTGTGTGTGTGTGTGTGTGTGTGTGTGTGTGCGCGCGTTGGAGATCACAGTCTGGGCTCTGTTGCTGAGCCAAGTGGGACTCAACGAGGCTAAAGCCTGGCGTCAAATATTTGTTTCATCCCAAACTGAGATATTCACCATCTGAAAAATAAATAAAAAGGCAGCTATGCTGATCCTCAAGAGAGAGATTTCTTTTTGCACTTTCTCCAGCACCACCACAGGGAGGTCAGGAGTCAAAGTAACACAGCAGCATCCCTGGAGCTGACAAAGCCTCAGTGTCTTGTGCAAGGAAATGTCAGCAAGGCAGATGGTTGCTGTCACAGAAGCTTGAACCTCGGTGTTCCAATTTGAGAACAGTATGACTCCTGGTTGGTTTTCAGTTTAGTTTTGGTTATTCTTTCTTTTGGACGTTGAGTTACCTGCCGGTTTCGGATATTTTTTATCAGCTTCATTAAAGCTTGCTCTGTGTTTGAATCCTCAATCTGCTTCCTGCTCTGCGTTTGGGTTCTTCCTGACCTGATTCCTGACATTGATAGCTTCAAACTTAAGTTGTGAACGACCCACAAGCACTCTGACAACCGCAAAAGGATGCCAATAATCCACAGAAGAGAATATAAGAAAAATATATTCACAATGTCTGGCAACACTCATTGCATCTGTTTATGTAAACCACAGTATTGATAACTACTGATGACATGTCAGGGTCCCATTTCATGGAAGATTTCAACCACGACTCCTTATAACTCAAAGGGACAAGGTGGCACTCGAAAACGAGGGGTAGTGGTAAGAATAAGAAGTGGAAGTGGGCTGAAATCTGCACACCAGTGCCTCTAAATTAACACTTCATATCGTGTTTGTTTAATCTCTACAGAAGCCAAAGTGTAAAAACACAAAGTTGTGGATTTATTGGCGGGTAAGTGCTTGAATCTCACATTAGCATCGTATTTAAAGTACAGACACAAGAGTTGAATTGATATTCTCTTCTAACACTCAGCAAGACAGTGAACTTCCCTTTACTGGTTGTCTTGTTCTTCCAAGACTGTTTGTAGTTTTATAGCAAAAATGTCTTTATTCTTGTACTGCAAAGGATCCGACAGGTCTTGTACCCACTGAGCTTTATTAAAGTTCAAATGAAAAATTAAACTGAACCACGACTAAACTTTGACAGACACGCAGTCACACATTCAGAAGCTGGTTAAATCACAAAGAAGAAATCATTCAAGAAGTTTCAAAGTCACACACAGCAACTTGGCCCATCAAGACATTAAAATATCAAAAAAAATATTAGCACATTTTGAAACTCAGAAATCAGAAGTGTTGTATGAAAGCTTTGATGCAACACCAATCCTTGTTAGCATCAAGGGTTTTGTTCCTCTCGGTGGGTGGCTGATTTTGGAATGAATCTCTATTAATGTCTCTGCAATTTTTGCAGTAGTCATGCTGAGTTTGAAATTAATTTCTGCTGTGCCTTTGCTTGTGTCTCCAGATGGCCCTGTGATCTGGCGGATGCTGACCTACCCCCCGACTCGGAGAGCCCTCCTGGTGGGCTGTGGTCTTCAGATGTTCCAGCAGCTTTCAGGAATCAACACGGTCATGTGAGTGAATCATTTACTCTAGTTTTACATCAATCGTCAAGTGCGGAATTATTATCTGGCTTGGGCCAGGAGAACAGACTTGTCAAGACTGTACAGAGTCTGCAATGTCAGCATACAATAGGGTGTTGTGGTTGAGGTATGGAGCTGTTCAGGATTCAAAGGCCCATCAGTTCTAACCCATGCCTATCTTAGAAAGCAGTTGGAAAGAGATACTGATTGAGGTCACATTCATAACAAGCAAGTCTGCAGAAGTCTTACATTTACTGTTTTAGTTTAGTTCACTTTGCTGTGTAAGGGGAAAACTCAAACTCTGGATTGCACAGAGAAACCACACCAAGTCTAACTGGAAATGTTCAGGAGTGAGAAAGGTGTTATGGGTAAAGGAGACAGAAGCAGGCTGACAACAGACTCTCTGTAAGATTGTATTCAGTTATCCACAGAGCAACTGCCTGCACTGTAGATCATATATTGTTATTTAGTCTGATGTCAGACAGCCAGGGAATGGGAATTAGCCCTTCCTGAGTCCCGTCTGTTTTCACTTCGTGCTCCATTAACAGCTGAGCAAAACTGAAACACAGCAGAACCCTTTCAACTTTCCCCTTTCCCGTTTTACTTTGGAAACCAGTGGATTGTCCTGCTCTGGTTTGGGAGAGAGTTACTGCCTCAAGTGTCTCGGGGTCTTGTTCACGAGTGAGGGTAGAATTGAGCGTGAGATGGATTAGCGGTTTGGTGCGGCATCAGCAGTGATGCGGGTGCTGCGCCGGACCGTTGTGGTGAAGAGGGAGCTGAGCCAGAAGGCAAAGCTTTCGATTTACTGGTCCATCTATGTCCCAACCCTCACCTATGGTCATGACCTCTGGGTAGTGACTGAATGAGATCATGGATACAAGCGGCTGAAATGAGTTTCCTCTGTGGGGCATCTGGGCTCAGCCTTAGAGATAAGGTAAGGAGCTTAGAATAGAGCCACTGTCAGTTGAGGTGGTTCCGGCATCTGATCAGGATGCCTCCTGGGCGCCTCCCGTTGGAGGTGTTCGGGCATGTTCAACTGGTAGGAGGCCCCGAGGCAGACCTAGAGCACGATGGAGGAATTACATTCCTCATCTGGCTTGGGAGCGCTTCAGGCTTCCCCAGGAGGAGCTGGAAAGCATTGCTGGGGAGAGGGATGTCTGGGGTGCTTTGCTTGGCCTGCTGTCCCCCCGACCTGGCCCTTGATAAGCTGATAAAAATGGATGGATGGATTCCTGTAATGTGGATATAATAACCAAGTGGGTAAAGGCAAATAATAGAAAAGCAAGAACAGACGTTAAGTTCAGAAAATGACAACACTTTACTGTAATGCAGCCTTTGCAACCAGGAAAAGATGATGTTACGATATTACACTAACCAAAATCTAAGAGGATATATGAATATAATATCCATATACTGCTGCACCCTACTTGTTCATAAAAGTTAACATCGTGAATCTATCCTTCCATCACATACTGTAGTCCTTGTTAGCATGTTCTTGAAGCCATATTACCTGACCCTCAGAAACTGTCCAATAAACACTGCGGCACCTGGCTAAATAGAACCAGCATCGCCATCTTTCTTTTTATCAAGCTTGTCCGACCCAGCAACAGTAACTAAGGGGGGGCAGGACTTAGGATCAGTCAATTGTTGAACAGATTGCTCACCTTGAAGGATGGGGGACTAGCAAAATTTCTATGGAGGTACCAGTGAATTGTTTTGCTTACAAATCTGTTTCTTCCTACTATAATTCAGACCAAAGAAAACACAGTGATAGTCAAAGTCATGTCATTTTCAGACAGACAATAAAGTCTGTAAAAATGCAGCCCACTCATTCCTTTACAATGAGCCCAGCACAGACGTTTGCTCAACTTCTGCCACCAACATAACATAAACTACTTTTTTCACCCATCAGTGAGATGATGTATAAAATGATAGCTTTACCCGGTTGTAAAATTTTGTCTGATTATAAACTGCAGAATGTAGTTTTTAGCATCTCATAAGCCTAAAAATTGATGGTTCTTCTGCTCAAATCCGCCGTCCTGGATTGTTTATCATCGCTTCACTTGTACCTGAAGCAGCAACCCAGCCCTTTGCAAGTGCACTTGTATTTCAACATACTTAACATTACAAAGAAATTATACGTGCGCCACTTGAGGCTGTGTGACAGCTATCTTCATCACAGAGTCTGTCCTGTTACTGCATCATGTCGCCATTGAAAAGGAAAGTTCAAGTGTGTTTTTATCTCTTTGACCCTCAGGGTTAACCAAAACAAAGGATGATACATGACACTGTGTGTCACCAGCTGTCCCTTTCAACACAAGACAGATCTAGACAGATGTATTTGGTTTAGCAGCACAGTATTAAATCATAAAACATTTCTTTCATCTTTCATAACACATAATACACCGGGGACCGGTAGCCTCATTGCATCAGAGCCCACTTGTCTGCGAAGGGACGGACCACCTTTCCTCTTTTATTCTTTTTATCTTTCCATCTGAGGAGATTGTGTCATCTGTCTCTGTCTCACCTCCCCTTTGAGATGAACTATATTACAGGCTCTGTAAACAATCTGTGGATATGTGCTGTTGCCTAGCAACCGTCAGAGGTGAGAGCAATAGGATAAGTGCATGCTTGCATGGCTGTGTGTGTGTGTGTGTGTGTTTGCATGCACGTGTGGTTTAAATGTGACACTTTTGACTTGGGGGTCTGCACATGTGCACCTGTGTGATTTGCATGTGTGAAGTGTGCTCGCGCGTGTGTGTGTGTGTGTGTGTGTGTGTGTGTGTGTGTGTGTGTGTGTGTGTGTGGATGTTTGCATGTGCGAGGTTGTATCTTGAGATTTGAAGTGCAGCTGTGGTTAGCAGAGGTGACACGCTGGATCTGTCACAAATCTCAGTAAATAGTGGTTTCTGTCTCTCCCACTATGTGAACGCCACTCTTAGTGTAGATTCATCTTCATCTGCTGCTGCCAATGCTGAGAACAGCAGAGGGGACAAACTAAATCTGTCACAGCTCCGTCCTTATCCGCCTTTCAGTCTCTCTGACTTGTGTGTCTGCCAGTTTCTCTGAAAAGGTCTGCCTGCCTGTTTATCTGTGTCAACACTGACCCATTTACACCGAGTATTAATACGTCTTGGATCAAGATGGTGTCTCGATTGTGTTGTGTTTACACCTGGCATTAAAATGTGTCTCAGGTCTACAAATCGAAATCTGCCTGCCCTTTCATTCGCAGAAACACCCACTGTGGCTTCCTTTGGCGATAATTACATCCTTCAAAACTGACATTAAAGACTCATCCTGCTGTGAATCGATTTTTGACAATAATGTCTCAGTTTGAGTTGTTTGCTTTGCACCATTTCCTTGTTTTATATATCTCATGTGGAAAATGTTTGTCAGAATAACAGTTAATTGTTAAAGAGACTGTCCACATACGCAAGTCTAATTAAATCAGTCAGATAACAAATACTACTGAAAGCAGTGATAAATATAAAAGTTATATCTTGACAGGTGCAACACAATTAACAGGAAAGTGTACAAGTACGGTATTAACATGCCCACACATTACTGATGCTGTGTTCCTGTCATACCAGAGTGGCCTACTTGTTACTAGTTTTTATAACAATAAGATAAGCTGGAGAAAAAAGTGGATATATCGATATCGGTATTGGTTAAAGTCAAATGAGTTAATACGTATCGGCATATCAGGTATCAGCAGACTATCATTTATCCCTACTATCTGTAATGCTGGCCTTTTGCCAAACGACTTTTCAATCGATTACACATCACAGACAAATGTTCAAAGTCGGAATAAAATCATGAATTTTTGCAAGAGTTGTGGCACACTCCTTTGATTGCAATCATCTGGTGTAATGTGGGTATAAAACTCAGTCTGCGCTGTCTAAGGTCAGTTGTTTTTTTCTCGTGTTAGCATTACACCAGTGCTAGCATCCCTGCACTGGCTACCTATGAAATACAGGATTGATTTAAGGTTCTTCTGTTTGTTTTTAAAGCCATACATGGGCCAGCACCCCAGTTTATTGCTGAACTTTCTCTGCCCCTACTCCAATTACTGACCTCTTAGAACGCCCGTGGGTAAGGGAGATCATGCCTTGTGGTAGCTCCTCCAAAGCTCTAGAATAGCCTTCCCTCCATTGACACTTATGAGACAAATCTAAAGACGTACATGTTTTCAATGGCCTTTGGTTGTTCGTAGTGGTTTTAGTATGTTATATACTTTTTTACATATGTAATTGTTCTTACCGGTTTTATTCTGTTTTATATTTGTGTGTCATTCTTTTATTTTGTACAGAACTTTGGTCAACTGTGGTTGTTTTTAAAAGTGCTTGATTTTATTTTATTTGATTTAACATTCCAATAAAATCAACAATGTTTAATACTGTTGTAAGTTTTTAGTCTTGTCCTATGCAAATAGTGAAGTCCAATGATGTGAACATTGTTAACAGCCAACAGCTGTGCTCTCTCCAGCACCGAACAGGAGGTGGCAAACTGGGCAGACAGACAGCACCATGACACTTTAGTCATGGTGCAAAAAAGTCCTTGTTCTCTTGTGGTGAAATAGGAGAGACTGGTGGAGTTGTGTAGTGTCAATTTTGGCATGTATCTGATCCATCAGTCAGCACTTTTTTTAGTTAGAAATCTTGATTTTTGAAACAGTTCTCTCAGTCCCACAATCTTCTCCCATTATAACATCATAATTAACCAACAGAGGCTTGTAGCAAAGTGAGGTGACAAAATCCATCATGTAAAGTTTGTACACAAATACAGTTTATCTTTACAGATTATATTGATGCTGAATGGACAAGAATACTGTCAACATATGACAACTTTTATCTTGTGTTTCTAGAGTTAAGTGTTTTGACGAATATGTAAGGGATTGTTAATATGTCGTATTTCATAAAGGGAGTTTAGTGTAATATCTTTCACCAAGAGCATTATCAGAAATAATCTCAAAAGGAATCTCACTGTAGTCT